CAAACCATTTAATAAACATTTCCCTTTTCAAAAACATTACAGGGTACGTAGACAGGCTCCTGGATCTCTTTCTTAATGAGGTCACCTTTGATCCAGCGCCGTATGTGGTGAAGCTGTGCAAGCTGTCCAACCCAGGACCACTGTCTGCCCAGAGTGAGAGGCCTGACAAGGAGGAGGCCATAGCTGGATTTGTCTCTCGCTTCAATTTTGGGGGTGATTGAAGCCTGCTTGATTGAAGCGGGGTACATGGGTCCCCCTCCTCTCCCCCTCCCCTTCCCTCTCCATCAATCTCTGTAGTTGGTTTCATTTCCTAAAGCCTAAGTAATACACTTTTACGTGATATGGTATCACATTTTATTACCTGGTATTGTATTTGGACAGGAGATGAGTGTTACAAATTATACAATACAATGGGTCCTGCACACTTTCGGGCGGCCGGGTGCCCATATTTCTCACCTTTATTTCTCATGAATGTTAATGTTGATCAATATTTCGGCTATGCAGGCCTATTGTAAATGATCCAATAAATGTCTGATCAATACGTACAATTCTGAACATATTGTCATTTATAATGCTAATGCAGAGGCACCAATAAATTGTCCAGTACACTTATTGTATGCCGTTTTCACCCACATTCCCTTATGTCTACGTTTCTAAGGCAGGGATGGGCAACTTGCGGCCCCTTTTATAGGTCCGCGGTCCATTCCCCCCACCCCCCAAAACAATACATACAGTGCACAGGATCCTATGGTGACTTAGGCTTAACTAATTATTGTGAAGAAGTGTATCAGTTAACTGTATTCTGTAATTAGTTACAAAACAATAGAAATGCAAGTGTGTTCTCCTGCTGTTTGTCTGATATCCAACACTCCATAATCAGCTCTGTTTACCATGAGAGCATTTTGCAGAGAAAATAAGGTTGCGGCATACTATTTAGGCTTGGAATGACATGTGGCCCATAGTTAACTGGCAACAACCACAAGGGCAATTCAAAGAGCTGTCAGTCAAGGTGAGCTCATTACTATAAGCTCCTCACCCACTCACCCTATTCTTTCAGGTTTCCTGGAAGTTAGAGATGAGGGAAAAGGTAACAATTCTGAGTATTATAATAGTGTACAAATATTATGGGTGATGTTTTGGTCATTCAAAGGCAATTTTTACTTGGGAAATAGGATGACTGTGCTGGACTTTTAATATACATATTAGATTTTTTGTCTGCTTGACAAAGCAACGTACTGTGAAAGTAGCCTTATCCAGTTGAAGGTTCTTGTAAGGTCAGCTGAAAGTGTATTAGCTTAGTGTTCTGTGTATACACAGGCAGCCAATTCTGATATTTTTGACCAATCAGATCAGTTTTGAAAAAGACCTGATGTGAAAGGTCTGTGATTGGACAAAAGACCAATTAGTGGAAAAAATATCAGAATTGGGCTGCCTGTGTAAATGCAGCCAGTATGACAGGTAGCATAATTTTCTCTAATTTCCTTCCCAGTCTGATTTTATATGATCAGTTTCTTTTTGCTTTCACTTTTGGTCTGAGGGAGAATGATGTTCATGAATGAATCTACACATACACTGATACCCAAACGTAGCCTTCTGCAAACCTCAATAAATCAACCACCGTGGGTAACATCAATTATTGCCCTTAATATGATCCGACCATGAACTTACCCATTTATAAATCTACCGTGAACAAAATGTTATCTAGCCTACTCTAATCCATTTAATTATTTAGTATTTTGTGTCAGGGTAGGTCTGTGGTAAATGTAACATTTGGTAAAAACAAAACGCCAGCATCTCTGCTCTGTGTATTCTTAAGTAATGTTAGGCACTGTTGATTCCTGAATGCATTATGAGGGGAGCGACTGAGGTATGTGGATGGGGTGAGAGCTAAAGGGGAGGAGTTCTCTTAGCCACTTGTGGCCTTCACTACCCAGGAACAAATCAAAGAGGGATGTGGCTATCAGAGTGACAGATGAACAATGCTCCCTTTTCCCAGCCCCTGTGAACACCCTCATCCATCACATATGGGGAGATTAATTCAATTCATCAGCGCTCTTTCTCCTTGGGCCTCCTAACACCACCTGATATCGGTCAAGGGAGCCTCATGATAAATGTTTGCGGATTTGATGTGGGGCCGTTCCTCTCACAAACCCGAAATAAAAAAAATAAAAACATTACCATCACCTGGACACACCCCTCTCCAACCTGCCAATCACAACATAGTTATGATTATGACAAGACCACAGTGGGAAAATGGGAGCAGGGTTTTAGACGGAAGGAGAAACAGGTACTGGTTGTCTGATGCTTTCCTATGCCATCTGTTCTAATTATATGCAGATGGTTTAAATGCCAACACCTTAGTGATACTAGCACATATTGGGAGTACAAAACATGTCAATATGACCCCTGGTGGTATGCAAGGGTCTTTTTAAAGTTGTTCTGAAACAGCATCAGATAAAAAAACTACTGCAATCCAAAGGTTATCTAGGACAGTAGTGTGTTTCTGAATAAGTGTTAAACAATCAGGCGCACCACCAGGTCGGTCACCTGAACGTGACACCATGGGTATCGCCAAAACAAGAATAATCAATTACTTTGTCCTAAATGACAGCTTACCAACAGGGGAGAAACATAAAAGACGAACTAGTCTATCCCAAAGAAACATCCATTCTGACAGCCTAGAATCTCCTAGGTCCAGATTTGGCATGCATTGTGCCATGTAGCAGTCCCAGTAGCAATCGATTCATCAGTAAACCACGAGGGCCTCTTGTGGATGTTTCATGTAATGGACATATGTCAGTATATGATTTTTACAAAAGGCAGGAGGAGCCAGGGAACTAACATTTATTAGCAATTTTTATTTTCAAGCAGGGCAGAAAGTAAATTGGTTAAAAGTTTGTCAATAGGTCTCTGCTGGGCCGGTAGCCTATTCTACCTCCCCTCCACACACACAGGTAGTAACCCACAGCCAGAGCTCCCATAGCTGTCAACAACACCATAGGGACCACCAGGAACAGAAACCAGACTGGAGACTCAGTCAGTTCACCTGAAAGATAAAATGCAGTTTCAATGAGTCAATGGCCTAAACTACAAACCAAAGTATTGCAAAAACACACTAAAGGTGATTATTGAATGATTGATAAGACATCAGCTCACCTTGTTCATCTGCACCAAGAGACTTCTTGTCTGATTCAGAGGGATGAATCTCATCTGATTCATAGGGATGAATCTCATCTGATTCATAGGGATGAATCTCATCTGATTCATAGGGATGAATCTCATCTGATTCATAGGGATGAATCTCATCTGAGTCATAGGGATGAATCTCATCTGATTCATAGGGATGAATCTCATCTGATTCATAACTCTGTGGAGTCTCCACAGAGATGGTCCACAGGTCTACCCTGTATCTTATTCGTGGAACTCCTGTAGGTGGAAAGAGGGTCACTGAAAAAGCCATTTTAACTAGCAAGTTAGAATATCGTCCAACTTTTAATTTGTTTCCATATTAGCAAAATGTAAATGAATCCAAACTTTTAAAATGATAAAGCCAGACCTTACACATACATTTAGCAAGTTATCAAATTTGTTGGCATACCTGTTTGGGCCACAATTGTGGCCACAAGCATCAAGAACAGCACACTGTGGATAAACAACATAATTCTGACTATAGCCCAGCACTCAGGTCACCTGGACTTTTTATGTGAGCTAATGCAGCTAATCAAAATAATTGCTGTCAGCTGTGGATCGCTTACGACAAATGACTGAAACTAGACACTTGGCTCGTTGAGGTCTTTGATGTGATTGGCTTTGACAGTTGCACTGTAGGCATTTTATTGGTTAATCTGTGTTGTGTTGTGTTGCTGCAGTACAATCTGCAGGGAATGAAAGCTGTGACTGCACATTTTTTCTCAATGCAGCCAATGTTGTTTAAAATCAATACAGCAATTTGTCAGACCTTATTGTCAAACCACAAACACAATTACGCAACAATATCTCTTGGTGAGAGTTGTCAATCATAATTCCCCAGAGGAACGCTACTGAGACAATTCTGTGCTACTTGTTGCCAATGAGTGTGTTGTCATAACACATCCATAGTTACTCCTTTTTTTCCTGACACCACAGCATGAGGAATGTTGTACTGTGATATGGATTTGTGAAGGTTCAAGTACATTACTTGTATGTGCGACAGTGTTTTGGCTGCGTATGAGGGGTTGCCCATTCATTTAAACAAGTGTGAAATGAATACACATGAAGAATCTTATTCTCACCGAGAAACTTAAAATATGTTGAATATGTTAAATTGGAAGGAAAAAAAGATTCATTCATAAAAATGTATACAATACAGGGTGTTGTTTTTCTACAGTATATTTAAAAACAGTTTCAGAGTAGGGGGATAGCTAAATAGCTGCCCATTGTAGTATAACTTTCACTTTCAATGATAAATTACTATCATTTTGTCAAAGAAAATGTCTTTCAATTTCTCTGACTACTAAAAGAAAATGTAAATGTACATCAGTAGCAGGTTTGAACACATTTGAATTTTTAGGCTAAAACAAACATGTTATAAAATAAACATTCCCTTATGTTTCCAGCATGAAAATATATTGATATCGAAATATGAAATTGATTATGTGACTATGTGGGCAAATAATTAGAACGAAAAAACATTCAAACTATCACAAACATTTTGCGTTTTGGTGACTTTGGCATTTTTCACTTCACTAAAAAGTAATCAATATATTAAAAACACAAATGGACTTATAACTGAGAAGTTGCTAAATGTTAGTTCTGGTGAATGAACAATTGGCAACATTTCCCAATTCAGTATGTTACATTAATTTACATCAGGGCTCTCCAACCATGTTCCTGGAGAGCTACCATCATGTAGGTTTTCAAACCAACCCCAGTTGTAACTAACCTGATTCAGCTTATCAACCAGCTAATTATTAGAATCAGGTGCACTAGATTAGAGTTGGAGCAAAAACCTACACAACGGTAGCTCTCCAGGAACAGGGTTGGAGCACCCTGATTTATATATTCCAATAGCAATTCCCATTTTTGTATAAGATCACTTGGATTGCTTGCATAGTGCAGCACAGCTTTGTCTACTGATGGGTTCCTCTTCTAGAGTAGCCTAAATCTTTGGCAATAATTACAGTATTTTATGCATATTCCCTTCATATGCTTTCTGCATAGGGCATGTTACACAATAATTACAGTGCTTTCTATACCTTAGATGCTACCAAAGTAACTGAATCTTTAGTGCTAACCAACATTTCCAGAATTGTTAGATCTATTCTGTTCACCTCGGTAATGAATGACAAGGGGCAAAAAAGAGCTAAGGTTAATCTAAAGACTGAACATTGACAAGTGCATCACAATATACTCTGTAAATATCTATTCAAAGTGACAGACAACCGTACATAAGACCTTCTTTTTGAGGCAGAAATAAACAACAAACAAAAACAAAGGCAGATGTTTACATGTAATGAAAATAGGGTCTTAATGCCAGGTCTAAGGACATTGACCCAAATATTCCCAAATATGGCTAACATCAAGAGTTACCTGGATATGCACCAAGTGGAGGTCTGAAAATGAATAGGTGGGCTCTGCAGGCAGGGGTATTCAATTCCAGTCCTGGAGGGCAACACTGTCTGTTGGATCCCTTTTCCCCCTTATACAAAGTCATTGACTGGCCAAAGGGTCATAGATCCCCCTAACTTGGAGTTTAAAATGAAAAGATGAGAATAGACAGAGGGGCATAGACAAGTGGCAGACAGTACAGTGGCCCTGGAGGTCTGGAGTAGAGGAACCCTGCTGTATTGGCTTTGTGCTTCACAGTGATGTTACAGTAGTGGGATCAGCAGAGGTTTCAGATGGCTTGGGAGGAAGTCCTGTCTGGGTCAGAGGGTGGGAGGGTAAACTTCCTGGTGGAGCTAACCTGTCCAGGGACACTAGGACCAGGCTGCAGGGTGGTCGTGGTGATTATTAGTCGTGCCTCTCTCCTGCAGATTGACCGTAGACCTTACGCAGGCTGGAGTCCAGCAGGAAGTCCACTCCCCTGTGGAACACAAAGAAGGAGAAGGGCTTTAAGGTTTAAGAAACTGTCCTGGCTCCCTACAGGCGTCATCAAGTACATATAGGCCTATAGATATGAATGTGCTATGCACTCACCGCAAATCGCACAGCCATGTAAGATACTCAGGTTGTAAACGGTGGAGTCAATATTGTGAGTTGAAATATCCCATATTTTCAGAAATCGCATGTTGGCCTATTTAAACTGCTGTTCACTGACAACCGTGCAACTCAACAATCAGCCGTTTGAGAAAAGCCACGTGCTGCCCAAATTGCGGCCTTCCCGACTAATCAAACCATTTATGTGATCAAACATAACAGTCTTCAGAAGCCAATGATCCGTTATTTATAATCTGTAAATAAATGTAATGCATACCAGAGGTGGGGAACTCCATCCCAACCGGGGACGGAATATAACCAACCGTTCAGAGCTGGGGATGGCAGAAGCAGAGAGGGGGAATCCCCCATCCCTCCCTACAAACAGCACCCTGAATACACCTCTCTTCAACGACACCACATGGATTCAGATAAATAAGAATGGTGGCTACACATTTAACACTACAGAAAGCGAAAATAAAGGTCATTATGGTGTGCAACTCCTAATTTGACACTTAAAATGATCCATACATTTAAAAAATGTAATGCTGTTTGCTAAGGTAATGTGTGGATTTTTCCTCTCAGTGGGCTGGTGAACAGAAACACAGGCAGGCTGAGACGGTTAACTGCAGGCTAATACCTTGGCACACTTGGGACCATAAACATTGATGTGCAAACGTGCCAAAGTACACACGCTACTCTTATTTCTTCCTCCCGCTCACATTCAGGGTTTCTCTCGCTCTATCTTCTTTCTTTCTCACACACACACACACACACGTTTATCATGCTCGCTCTCTGTCTCTCGAACACACACTCCTTCACTGTCTCCCAGACACATAACGGGCACACACACGGAAACATTTCCTTCACTATCTAACCGCCCACCCACACACCTGTCGATGGGGTGGATGATGAAGGGGATGGTGGAGAGGCCAATGGCCGTGGTGGTCCACTTGCGTACGGAGAGGGGCAGGCGTGTTGTTTTGCCCAGGAGGTAGAGAGAGGCAGCACACACACGGTTGATGGTGAAGCCTGGGATAGCGACCGAGGCCAGGGCCTGCCATACAAACGTGTCCACCACCGCTACAGCCACTTTGGTTGTCTTCCCTGGGTTGTCACCATGCTCCTACAGCACAGGGATAGACACAGAGTGTGACATTCTGTGCTTCAGACCACTTTGTTTCAGTGTGGGAGTTGAGTTGTGTTCTATGAAACATTCTCTTTGGATTTTCTGGAAAAGTTCCATTTACTTTGCATGTGTTGAAAAATAATGTCATTTGGCAGTATTCAGAGAGTGTTAACTACATTTTTGGAAGTTCATAATATAAATGCTTCACAGGGCAATAATTCCACGACCCCTTAAAAGAATGGTAGCTCATATCAATTCAAATGAAGACATAGGATAAGAATGAGAACATAGAGCTTTGCTTTTACAAAATGTCCTCCTTCCTTACCACGGCAGCCTTCTTCCCCTTGTCCACAGCATCAGCGGAAACATACACGGTGGCAACTGCATATGTGGCCCATACAGCACTCACTGGCACCAGGGCACGGAAGGCCTCTCCCACCTCGTTGGCATAGCCTGTGGGCACAAGACGACATGCCAGGGTAAGATATGAGCGCAATTAAGGCTTTAACTGCCTCGTCTGTTGTGAGAGGCCTCTAAACAAATCATGACCAACCCCCACCGGATCAGAGCTGGGGGCCTGAGGTAAAACAAAATGTATTAGAATAATAATTCAAATGTCCCTCTTGGACCTCTGCCATGTAAAGGGGGGGGTACATTAATATTCACTTTTGTTTGGGGCTGTGGTTAGTAGCAATAACCCCCCTGACACATTTCGGTCCATAGAATGGGCGGTGACCTTTGGAGCAATATGCACGGTCCGCTCCAACAGGGTTGGAATGACTAATAATGCCCTTGGTCTGTCATTAGAACGCTTACACAGCTCCTCCTGCTGTGTTGGCTGCTGCTGAACCTGTACTGCCACCCTGTGGGCAAACATTATGCTAACGTCAGGTCTGTAGGCCTTTACACACCACACAAGGTTATATGAGCGATACACTACATACAAAAGTATGTGCACACCCCTTCAAATGAGTGTATTCGGCTATTTCAGCCACACCCATAGCTGACAGGTGTATAAAATCGAGCACACAGCCATGCAATATCCATAGACAAACATTGGCAGTAGAATGGCCTTACTGAAGAGCTCAGTGACATTCAACGTGACACTGTCATAGGATGCCACCTTTCCAACAAGTCAGTTCATCAGATTTCTGCCCTACTAGAGCTGCCCCGGTCAACTGTAAGTGCTGTTATTGTGAAATGTAAACGTCTAGGAGCAACAATGGCTCAGCCGCAAAGTGGTAGGCCACCCAAGCTCACAGAACAGGACCGCAGAGGGCTGAAGAGCATAGCGCATAAAACTTGTCTGTTCTCGGTTGCAACACTCACTACCTAGTTCCAAACTGCCTCTGGAAGCAACGTCAGCACAAGAACTGTTAGTCGGGAGCTTCATGAAATGGGTTTCCATTGCCGAGCAGCCACACACAAGCCTAACATCACCATGCGCAATGCCAAGTGTCGGCTGGAGTGGTGTAAAGCTCGCTGCCATTGGAAAGCCTTCCTAGAAGAGTGGAGGCTGTTATAGCAGCAAAGGGGGGGGGGGGGGACCATCTCCGTATTAATGCCCATGATTTTGGAATGAGATGTTCGATGAGCAGGTGTCCACATACTTTTGGTCATGTAGTGTATTTTTTTACCTGGTACCTCGTCCAGTCAGGTTACTTAGCTGGCTTACAACCTGGTAACGTGACCAACGACCAGTAGGCTATGGTTTAAGATGATATTGGAAGAAAGGAAAGGTGCTGGATAGCTACTCCAGGAGATGTGTTTCAAAGGTAGGATAGGCCTAATCTCCTTTTCCGGTGCTCCTATACTGTTTGTTGCGGGGAGCGCCAGTGCTATAAGTTGGCAGCACCAGTGCTATAAGTTAGGAACACCAGTGCTATAGCCTGGGTACCCCAGTCTGTTTTTTCTAACATTCTAGTCCTTGCCACTCATTATCATGCCAATGTCATGTTTGGTATCAAAAGGAGTTAGAATGATAGTGTAAGAGGTTTCAAAAAGCACAAACAGATCTGGGACCAGGCTACCAAAGAAAAAGTTAATTTAGAGCCCTGCTTGTACTTCTACTAACACACTGGCAGCACTAAACAAAAACGATTAAATGCACAGTCCAATTCTGCTACTTCAGTGAATCTGTTTCTGGGAAAGGTTATGCTACTCATATGGCAGAACAACAGCACATTCTGAACAGATTCTGTAACACTGTCATTTATGTCATTTCTAACTACGTAGGCTACTGAATGTGCTTTACAATACACTGATCGATAATTGATTGGTGTTGATTATAATGCTATAAAGATGCTTCATGCTAAATGTTTACGAGAGAGAGAGAGCCGGTCTGAGAGAGGAGTGAGAGTCAGTGGTAGAGGAGATAGACAGAGAGCTGTGCATGCAGGCCATAACTCCCGAGTGGCGCAGCAGTCTAAGGCACTGCATCTCAGGGCTTGAGGCGTCACTACAGACCCCCTGGTTCGATTCCAGGCTGTATCACAACCGGCTGTGATTGGGAGTCCCATAGGGCGGCACACAATTGGCTCAGCGTCGTCCAAGTTTGGCCGGTGTAGGCCCTCATTGTAAATAAGAATTTGTTCTAACTGACTTGCCTAGTTAAATAAAGGTCAAATAAAATAACAGCACCGATCTGCAGCTGGCCCTGGGGTTATTTGAGTAACATAGCACATTTCAATGTCACCCCCAGCCAATAAGAACCCAGCAGAAAATGTAAATGCATTGCACAGTGGCTAGTGTTATTGATCCCTCCTGTAGCTCAGTTGGTAGAGTATGGCGCTTGCAACGCCGGGGTTGTGGGTTCAATTCCCACGGGGGGCCAGTATGAAAAATGTATGCACTCACTAACTGTAAGTCGCTCTGGATAAGAGCGTATGCTAAATGACTAAAATGTAAAAAAAATAAAATAAAATGTAGTAGGCCCATTTAGTTTGAAATCAACCTGATTGCCTTATGTGAAGGAGGAACAGATATCCTCTGTACACTTTTGACTCTAAGGTCAGTATGGATCAATGGTATTGCAATGCAGGGACAGCTATATTAATGTAGCTATTAGGCCTACTACACTGAGATTCCAGACATTGTAGCATTTCAATGGAACTGGTGCTTAAATATGTGATGAGCGTTTACTTATTTGTCAATCCTAAATCACTACTAGGAAGTACCATGCAATTTACCCAACCCACTAACCTAACTAGCTAGCTGTTTGAAGGAAGCTACTAGATTGGTAGCTATTTGACTACATTAGTATTTGATCGTGTTGCTGAGCTTTGAATTGGTCGAACGCAACCATTACAAAACAATATCAAGTATAGAGCATCTATTTATAAGTAGATCAAATTCAGACCAAAAACTGGCTAGCTCACGAGCTAGCAACCCAGCTCGAGCTAGCTATATCTTGTACTAGTTTACGCTTGTTCTTAGCGTGAGAGGGATGAGACGGGGACATCCCCCTGGTTCAAGACATCCAAAAACAACACATTTTTATGGCATACCTAAGAAGCGGACCCATGTGTCACGATAAATGTCGACCTCCTTGCTCGGTTTTTCTTGAATTGGATCCATGCTTCGTCTTTAACCCCATGTACAGAGATTTCTTATGCGTCGATAGAGTCCTAACTAGAAGCTGCGAGTCAAGTCTTGCAATGCGCCACACCGAGGGAGTGTCTAAGACTGTATGGTGCTATTCAGAAAGGGAAAAAAGCCTACTGTATTTGTCTGACTTCACATGTCTTATTGGTAAATTATTAGACTTATTATCTTGAGAATCAACCAGTATAAGCTTACAAATTGAATCTTCCACAGAGGGATAAAGTCCGAGTCCCGTGACAAAAGTTAAGAATTGATAGATAGTCCCTGATCACAATTTACATAATGCATACACCGGAAGTTAGCGGATAGAGGAAGAGAGAGGCCCAACTCCGCAGAAAATCTGTCTCCCTCCAGCAGATGGCGTTTTTTCGTTGTTTCGCCCACCAACTTTGAGAAAAAACACTTTATATCGGAGTTGTTTCGAGATGGCTATGCATATTCATTGCATGAGGCTAGTAACATAGCTTCGGCAGTTGACATCAACAACCCTCGGAGCCATGCAGCCCGCCGTGCCTCTTTGTGGACAACGACTCCCATTGTTAGGGCGGAGAGACATGTATCTTGTCAGTTTATCCCTAATCTTTGTTTAGGCGTGAAAAGTGTTATGTAGCACTATATTGGATCACTCCAATATCGTATCCTTCCACTCCGCAGGATACATTCTGAGTAAGAATTTCCGATTAGTCACCGGTAGTGCTGCGGCAGACCCCCTTAAATAGCTGCAGCTGCACTATTCCCATCTCTTCATTTTCTCAGTTCATTCCATAGAGGATTCGATTGGTAAGAGCTCTATGTATAAGCGCAGAAATATACCCGCAGCTATTCAATAGCTTGGAGCAGCTAGCTAGCTAGCCTCTCCACCTGGGTGTTCTGCTGTCCTCCCACTCTGTTTGGCTTGTGCCATCTCGTTTGGGTTTTGTCCTTGTATTTAATTACTTGTGACAGTCTAACCCCACAAGATCGGGAGTCTGTGTATGTTTCGCTCCGGCGGGCTTGCAGTTCTACTCGGAGAGTGAGTCACGTGTTGCTAGGTGCACCACGCTTATCTCTCACAGGGCGCAGCCATCTTGCCTAGACTCTTGTGTGTTCCACGGTAAATGAGCTATGCAGTAGCTAGCTTAACAAGAGCAGACCACTGCAGGACTAGGCACACTCCTTACATCCTGCCAACACCCCCACGTATAGTAGAATAAACTTTAACCTGGAGTGAGTTACAGCCGACCCACACATATAAGCAAAGATTGAGCCAACCTGTGTGTGAGTTTGTGTGCTCTGCCCCTCCCCCACGATCAGGTAATTCACACCCAGTTCTTGTCTCTTCTCCTTCAGATAGTATATGAGACTAAGGCTGGTACTGTAGGACTGTAGTATCTGACTATTACAGTATTGCGCAGTGTATACTATAGGCACATAGTAATATCACACTGTTGGCTTTACTTTCACAGAGAAACTACATAACTATTATGGTGTTTCATTGCGAGAGATGCGAGGTACCCCTGCCTACGGGGGATGCACATTCTGCCTGCATGACCTGTCTTGGGTTAGATCACGCACGGAGAGCAGTTAGAGAACCCAATAGTTGTTTGGCCTGCCCCGCCTTTGGAGAACGCATGCGCTTAGCACACCTGGAGGGGATGAGGGCCACAGTACAGTCCTCCCCATCTGATGACCGTATTCCCCCCTCTGGGGTGATGCATCGTCGCGGCAGCACCCCGTTGGACTCTTTGGGTGTGCTTTCTAGTGCTGAACTACCTGGACGACTGGCTGGTGTGTGCTCAATCAAGAGCGCAAGGATCATCTTGAAGCACATTAAAGACCTGGGCCTCACCCTAAACATGGAGAAGAGCAGCCTGACTCCCTCACAGCCGGTGGTCTTCCTGGGAATGTTGATCGACTCAACTCTTATAAGGGCACGTCTCCCTCGGGTGAGATCAGAGAAGATACAGGCCTACCTAGACCGTTTCCGGCTTAGACGAGCTGTGTCCGTATTAGAGTGCCAGAAGTTACTCACGTCGGCTTCTCTGTTGATTCCGCTGGGCCTTCTTCACCTCAGGCCACTCCAGCAATGGTTCAACTCTCACCATCTACACCAGAGATAACACAGACATCGTCAGCTATCGGTGACAAACGCATGTGTGAGGACTCTGTTGAAATGGCACTCTCACTCCTTCCTGTTGGAGGGAGTGATACTGAACAGAGTCCACCGCAGGGAGCTAGTGTGCACCGATGCCTCGCTAGCGGGTTGGGGGGCAGTGTTCAGAGGCATGGCAGCAAGCAGATGCTGGAGCCCCCCATGGAGTGGCAAGCACATCAATGTGCTGGAGCGCAGGGCGGTTCGCCTGGCACTCCAACAGTTCCTGCCCTACTTGGAGGGGAAGCATGTCCTGGTCAGATCAGACAACACCACGGTTGGCTGGCAACAACACTTTATGTGTTCCCACCATTTCCCCTGATCACAGCTACGCTAAACAGGGTCAGTTTGAAGAGCCACCTGCTGCTCCTGATAGCCCCATACTGGCCTAGACGACCATGGTTCAGCCTCCTGTTGTCCCTCCTCTCTGGGACCCCATGGCAGCTGCCGCTGAGACCCGCCCTGCTCTCTCAGGCTCGGGAGACGCTCTGGCATCCGGACCCACGCTGCCTCTAGCTTTGGGCTTGGCCCCTGAGAGGCGTCAACGGGCAAGTCTAGGCATTAGGACAATGTGGTGAACACGTTGCAGAATGCCAGGGATTCCTCCACCAACGCGTCATATTAAATGTGATGGGGCATGTTCTGGACTTGGTGTGAGAGTCATAATGTTGCCCCCTGAGTCGTGTGATGTACAAACGGTTTTACACTTTTGCGGGCCGAGCGGCATCTACTTTGAGAGTGTATTTGGCCGCAATTTCGGCATGCCATGACGATGGCCCGGAGGGACCCATGGGTGGCCACCCATTGCTCTCCAAGTTTATGAAGGGAGTTAGACGTCTGCGTCCAGTGAAGGCCCGTTCTGTGCCAAACTAGAACCTTGACGTGGTGCTGTCAGCACTTGCTAGGCCACCCTTCGAGCCCCTGGTGTTAGCGTCTTTGAAGCACCTATCCATGAAGGTGGAATAGCTGTTGGCTATTACCTCTACTAAGATGGTTAGCAAACCTCATGCTCTTTCAGTGAGCGCTGAATGTTTCCGAATGGGTGCAGACAAGGGGAGTGTTATCCTCAGGCCTAACCCCCCTTTCTTGCCGAAGGTCCTGTCTGACAGACATGTGAACCGGCCCTTACATTTGTCCGCATACGCACCTCCCATGGCTGAGAGTGGGCTGGGTTTTTCCCCAAGTGTGCTGTGCCCGGTGAGGGCACTAGACACTTACGTTACACGGACTAAGACTATACGACAGTCGGATCAGCAGTTTGTGGGTTATGGACAGAGAGTTCTGGGGAAGAGCCTATCTAAACAGAGACTCTCACATTGGATTGTGGACACTATTACTACAGCATATCAGCTGGCTGGCCGGCCTCTGCCGTCAGCTGTGGTAGTGCATTCTACTAGAGGAGTAACTACATCGTGGGCCCTGCTCCGAGGAGTTCCCCTTGGTGAAATTTGCGCCTCAGCCAGTTGGGCGTCGTCTAGCACTTTTGCTAGGTACTATCGAGTCAATGTTGCTGCCGTCAACCAGGTCGGGACGGCCGTGTTGGGTGTTGCGTCCACGTCCCTGGAGGGGGATGGAGGGACACAGCAACCATGATTGCCCTGAGCTCAGTCCTACGGGATTTTGCTCTTGTCTGGCCATGCCTAGTTCACCGATTAATCTGGTATTGTGATACCATATTGGAGTGATCCAATATAAGCTCAGCAAAAAAAGAAACGTCCTCTCACTGTCAACTGCGTTTATTTTCAGCAAACTTTTTTAAATATGTGTAAATATTTGTATGAACATAACAAGATTCAACAACTGAGACATAAACTGAACAAGTTCCACAGACATGTGACTAACAGAAATTGAATAATGTGTCCCTGAACAAAGTGGGGATCAAAATCAAAAGTAACAGTCAGTATCTGGTGTGGCCACCAGCTGCATTAAGTACTGCAGTGCAACACCTCCTCATGGACTGCACCAGATTTGCCAGTTCTTGCTATGAGATGTTACCCCACTCTTCCACCAAGGCACCTGCAAGTTCCCAGACATTTCTGGGGGGAATGGCCATAGCCCTCACCCTCCGATCCAACAGGTCCCAGATGTGCTCAATGGGATTGAGATCCGGGCTCTTCGCTGGCCATGGCAGAACACTGACATTCCTGTCTTGCAGAAAGTCAAGCACAGAACGAGCAGTATGGCTGGTGGCATTGTCATGCTGGTTGGTCATGTCAGGATGAGTTTGCAGGAAGGGTACCACATGAGGGAGGAGGATGTCTTCCCTGTAACGCACATCGTTGAGATTGCCTGCAATGACAACAAGCTCAGTCCGATGATGCTGTGACACACCGCCCCAGACCATGACGGACCATCCACCTCCAAATCGATCCCGCTCCAGAGTACAGGCCTCGGTGTAACACTCATTCCTTTGATGATAAACGCGAATCCGACCATCACCCCTGGTGAGACAAAATCGAAACTCGTCAGTGAAGAGCACTTTTTGCCAGTCCTGTCTGGTCCAGCGACGGTGGGTTTGTGCCAATAGGCAACATTGTTGCCAGTCATGTCTGGTGAGGACCTGCCTTACAACAGGCCTACAAGCCCTCAGTCCAACCTCTCTCAGCCTATTGCGGACAGTCTGAGCACTGATGGAGGGATTGTGCGTTCCTGGTGTAACTCGGGCAGTTGTTGTTGCCATCCTGTACCTGTCCCGCAGGTGTGATGTTCGGATGTACCGATCCTGTGCAAGTGTTGTTACACGTGGTCTGCCACTGCGAGGACGATCAACTGTCCGTCCTGTCTCCCTGTAGTGCTGTCTTAGGCGTCTCACAGTACGGACATTGCAATTTATTGCCCTGGCCACATCTGTAGTCCTCATGCCTCCTTGCAGTATGCCTAAGGCACGGTCACGCAGATGAGCAGGGACCCTGGGCATCTTTCTTTTGGTGTTTTTCAGGGTCAGTAGAAAGGCCTCTTTAGTGTCCTAAGTTTTCATAACTGTGACCTTAATTGCCTACCGTCTGTAAGCTGTTAGTGTCTTAATGACCGTTCCACAGGTGCATGTTCATTAATTGTTTATTGTTCAATGAACAAGCATGGGAAACAGTGTTTAAACCCTTTACAATGAAGATCTGTGAAGTTATTTGGATTTTTACGAAT